CAACCACTCTAGGAAACAATATGGCACTTCATCAGAAGGTTGTAAATACAGATACCTTATGATCCAGCAATTTTTCTACTTGGTATTTATCCACAAGAAATATGAGCCATAACGTGAGTAGATATATGCACACCAATGTTCATAGCAGCACTATTTACAATAGCAAAAAGATGGAGACAGCCTAAGTGCCCATCTATGGAAGAATGGATAAACAATGGTACATACAAAGAATGGATAAACTTTGGTACATACAAACAATGGAATATTATGCTACCCTGGAACAAGGAAGCAGCAAGCCACCGCATAACATGGATGAACCTTGAGGACATTATGTTGACTGAAAACAGTCAGTCACAAAAGGAGAAATATGGCATAAGTCCATTAACGTAAAAGATTAAGAAAAAGCACCCACACTAAAAGGGGAAAATAATTTTAAATATTTTATTTATTTATTTATTTACGTTGGTTTCCATGGTGGTGTGAGGGAGATGGAGGAGAAGGTGGAGCACAGGGTAGGGAATAAGCACAGGACAGTGAAACACGGGATATGGAATAGACACAGGATACTTTGGAGCTGGGAGGTGCAATACACTAGAAGGGGAAGGGGAAAGGAAAAATAAGGCCAATGGGAGAATACCTAGGCAGGTTTACATGGGCTAAACAGAACAGAGGTAAATAATGATGTAAGCACAAATGTGGAACAACAGAGCTCGTGGATACAAAGATTGAATGGGTAAAAGTGGGGAAATGATGTTAAGATGCTTGGCTGTCTTTTGAATCTTGGTTTCCCTTTCCTACTATCGTAAAATAGACACTTGAAGAGGAGAGAGAGGAATAGCCAAAAACATCACCAGAGAAAACTTGTAAGTTCATCTTCAGCCTGTAACTGATTGGAATACCTAAAATGGGGCTAGGACTAGCCCAGTGAACCTTTGCATTGCACAAGACCATAGGTGGAATCCTGATCCCTATCGAAAATCTTCTAAGGTGGGACGTTTCCACTTGAAAGGACAAACAGACCAGTCTGGAGTAGCTAGAAGAACAGAAGATAGTTCTTGAAAGAAAGACCAGCAGGAAAAATAAAAAACAGTAACAGTAGTCCAATTGACTACTACAAGAACAAGCAAATTGTTCCCCGGCAAGCCATCAAGGCAACTGGTCAGGTCCCCTCAAGGCAACTCCCATTTCAAGACTGAAACTCAAATGGAATACACTAGCAGGCATATGGTCCTGCTGCTGACCACATTGGTCATGGATAAGGGGAAGTGGGGGATAAACAGCAATGAAGTTGTGAACTAAGTATGACCACATTCAATAGACTCCTGTTAACCTGGATTGAGACCTGTGACTCCTGGGCTCAGAGGCAGGGACATGGCCCCAGAGGACTAGAGCTGGAGTGTGAAGCATCCAGCTGATATGAAGTGAGGGGAGATGCACAAGAACACACTTGCAGATAGTACCCATTTGAGTTGGCATCAATGGCTGGATGATGAGAATACGACTAGAGGAAGAAAAAAAAAATGGAGTAACCCACTACAAGTGCATAAACTTGACCTACACTTGTGGATGCAGTATGATAAAAGAGCAGACAAGTCTTTACAGTGAGGATCAATCCCACCCCCTTGGTACACAGGGTCAACAGAGATGGGGAATTTAGACATTGGCTACCCAAAGTGGGGGAACAACAAAGGCAGGAAGTGACTGGCTTATAAACTTTCAATAGGGAACCTAGCTCCAGAGGATACAGGGAAATGTAGAATCTCCACTGCATTGTTTCCAACCTGTCTAGATGGGGTTAATAAAAGGTGAGGGGAAAAGGACTCCTGTGATTCAATAGGGAATGATTGCTATCAGGTCTGACAGTGAGTGTTGGAAAGGTAAATGTAAATGTTTGGTAACAAAAGGAGGGGAGTGGCTGATTTTGCAGGAGAGGAAATCCCATCAAGGGAGAAAAGCGAAGTTGGAGACCATCTCCAGAGACCTGAGAGGCAGTGACACTAAGGTTGGAGGCAGAGACGATGACATGGACAGATGGAGCGGCTGGAGACTCTGGACTCAGGGATGGAGGGGGGCTGTGTAGTGGCAGCCGGGGGGCAGGCGTGTGGGGTATATCCTTTGGTTGTTTGATGGTACATGCAGGGGATTGTGATCATTGCAATGAACAAAATATGATAGGATGAATGTAAAGATAATGTTCACCCATGTAAACTAACACATAATTCACAATAAAAACACACAAAAAAAAAGGAAAGAAAGAAAGAAAAAAACAAACACTGCCTGGTCCTATACCATCCTCACATCTGTTGATGTTTGAGCCCAATGTTGCAGCCACTGTGTCAGTCCATCTTATTGGAATCTTTCTCTTTTTCACTGACTCTCTATTTTACCGGGCAGGTGGCATTTTCCAGGAACAGATCCCTTCTGATAATTCATTGCAATGACCACGCAGAACTGCATTGTTCTTTTTTTTTTTTTTTTTTTAAGATTTTATTGTGATTTGAGCGAAAGTTTACAGGGCAGATAATCAGTTTTACATTCAACAAATCATACAGTTTGTTTCATTATAATGATTATAATCCCCTCCATGTTAATAATCCCCTCCATCAGTTAACAGTATTTCTCTCTATTCATTTTAGTTCTTTTTTTTTTTCCTTTCTTTTAAATACTCAGGCATATATAATAATTTAAACCACCAAAGGGCACATTCTGCAAGCCTGCCTCCTGGCCACTAGCTCTGTCCCTCAGTCTCAATTAATCATAACAACTATTCACTATTGAATCATAAGAATCGTATTCCCATCTCTTTTCACCAGACCCATCTAGACAAGATGAAAACTACTCAGTGGGGACTCTTATCTTTCCCTGCACACTCTTAAACTAAACTCCCTCTTGAAAACTTGTAAGCCAGTCACTTTGTGCCTTTATTGCCCCCTCCCCCATTTTAGGTAGCCAATGTCTAAATTGTCTGTACCTATCTACCCTGTATACAGAGGGGCAGAGGGGATAGCATTGATACTCGATTTGAAAATTCCTTTCCTCTCTGTTGCTATTTTGAGCTACTACCTCCATGAATATAGGTCAAGTTCATCAAATTGTAGCAATTTACCCTCATTTCCTTTATCAAAAAAAACAACTATATACATATATATATAGTCCTCTAGTCAAGTTCTGATTATCAAGCCATTGAGGTTAGGTCAAATGGGTACTAACTATCTGCAAGTCTGGGTGTTCTTGTGTATCTCCCCTCACTTCATATCAGCTGGATGCTTCACTCTCAGCTCTAGCCCTTCGTGGCTATGTCCTTGTCCATGGGCTCAGGTGTCCCCAGGTCTCACCACACTTTGGACCAACCAGCCCTTCCTCTTCTCTCTTTCATCTTCAGGTCAGTGGGAGTCTATGGAAAGTGGTTGAACTCAGCCCATTTCTTCATTGCTGCCTTTCCCCTTCCTCCACTCACCAGTGGACCAACGTAGTCACCAGCAAGCTTATATGCCTGCTCATGTGTTCCCTCTGAGTTTCAGTCTTGGAGGGGGTTTGTTCTGAAGAGATATGATTGCTTGTCTTGATGGCTTCCTGGCGAACAGCTTGCTTGTTCTTATAGTAGCCAATCATACTGACATTTTTGTTTTGAGTTTTTCCTGCTAATCTTTCTTTGAAGATGGATCTTCTGTTGCTCTAGCTATTCCAGGCTGGTCTGCTTGTCCTTTCTAGTGGGACTGTCCCACCTCAGAAGGCTCTAGATGGGACTCAGGATTCTACTTGAGGTACTATATACTGCAAAGGCTCCACAAGAGGCCTATCTCACTGGGCAAGTTCTAGAACCCCTTTTAGGTATTCCAGTCAGTTATAGGCTGAAGACGGGCTTACAAGCTTTCTGTAATCATGTTTCTTGACCTTCCTTTCTATCCCACTCAAGTGTCTACTTTACAACAGTAGGCAAAGGAAACCAATATTCATAAGACAGTCAAACATCTTAGTATTATTATTTGCCCTCTTCGACTATGCCTTGATCCCTGTATCACAAAGTATTGCTCAATATTTTGCTACTAGAATCCTCCAGTTTTTCAATTTGAGGTAGAAATAGGGGAAGTAAGAAAACAGAGACAGTAAAAACCAGAATAGGACACATTGTAATGCAAAGAGGAGAGGATAAATTAATATTTATGATCACTTATTTTATGAGGAGCACTGTACTGGCACACTTTTTTTTTTTTGGTGTTGGCATGAGTCAGAATCAACTCATTGGCAACTGGGTTTGGCTTTATTTTTTAGATTTACAGTAAATTGTGTAGAAAGTAGAGTGTCCCCATATCTGCTGACTCCCCTTTGCATACCATTTTTACCTATGGACATTGTGCATTTTTGTGGTACATTTGTCACCATTGAGGAGCCAGTATCAATATATTGTGATTAATTAAAGACCACAGTTCACCCAAGTGTTCACAGTTTGCATTGTACAGTCCTGTGGGTTTTTACAAATGTATAATATCCTGTGTACATCATTATAGTATCATGTAGAGTAGTTTCACTGACCTAAAAAGGCCCTTTGCTTCACCTACTCATCTCTACCCCTGCCCCTGTACCCTAGGCAACTACTGATCTTTTCATTGTCTGCTGAGTACACTTCATATATTATCCTATTTAATCCTCACAACAGCTCTATTAGGTGGCTACTATCATGATGCAGATGACAAAATTACACACAGAAATATTAATTTAACACAGCTACTAAGTAGCAGAATCAAGATTCAAATTTTGATATGGTTGTTTTAATTAGAGCAGTATGGACACTTCAGATATCACCAGACTATCAAAGAAATTTCAAAAAGGGAGAAGTATGGGCATAATTATCAGATAAACTGATTTTGGAAATAGAATTTGGGTGGACTTCTGTAAACAAATATCAGAAGAAGAGAAAAGGATGAGGATATTACACTGAAACTCCATCACCATAAAGATAAAGTATCTGTGACATCACTGAACTATGAAAGGTGCTGCAATCAAGGTTTTAATTCAATACCTTCCTCATCATTCTCATCTATCCTGTCTCCAAGGAAGTTACAGTGGCACTGCAAGCCATCACCCATGCATACAAGATTGGGTATTGAAATATCTTTCCAGTCCTGACAAGAAGGAATACGTATGTGATCAACGTTTTCACTCCCGGGAAGAAAGCCAAATAGTTTCTTCATGTGCTGCATGATGATGAGTCTCGAGTGCTGCTCTGCCGCCTCTTCAAAGAGCTTTCTCTCATTATGCATGTGAGTGGTCCAGTAGTGGTGCTGCAGAGAGGTGAGGGGAGAGCAGCACCTCGCCAAACTGCTGGAGACTAGGACAGTGACGATGGCTAAGATGATCAAAATCCAGCCCAGCATCTTCACAGAATCATTAAAAAGAAAAACAGAATAATTAAAAACATACAATAATCAAGAAACAGTCATGGTAGAAGGGATTCTTATGTAGTTGAGAATTGAAATGTTGGTGCAATGAATACGGATTCTGCTGCTAACGGAAAAGTTGGTGGCTTGAACCCTCCCAATTACTTCCTAAGAGCTTTCTTGGGATCTGCTTCCCTAAAGATTACAGTTAAGAAAACTCTGGAGTAGCTCTAGTCTGTTGCATGGGGTTGGTATGAGTTGGAATCCACTTGTTGGCACCCAACAACAACAATATATGAACAAGGGGACATTGTTGATGACTTCATGTAGATATAGGTCAGAAAATATATACAGGGGGACTTCAAAAAGTTCGTGGAAAAATGGAATTGAAAGATAATGGAATTTTCAATAAATTTTTGAAGACTGCCTCATATATGTTGTTGTTGTTAAGTGCCGTTGAGTCAGTTCTGACCCATAGTGACCCTCTAGGGGGTTTCCAAGGAGTGACTGGTGAGCCTGAACCACCAACCTTGCAATTCAAACCCTACTGTGTATACATATACTATACATATATGAAAAATATGATATAGAGATAGAGATAGCTATAGATATATGTATCTCCATCACTAGTCTGTCAATTTGCCATACTCTGGTGGCTTGTGTGTTGCTTTGATGCTGGAAGCTATTCCATCAGTATTTTAAATATCAGCAGAGTCACCCATGGTGGACAGATTTCAGTAGAACTTCCAAACTAAGACAGACTCAATGGTCTTGATGATAGAAATGATGCTGGAGACCCTATGATAGAATTTTTTAAAAAAATGTTTTATTGTGATTTATGTGATAGTTTACATGGGAGAACATTAGTTTTACATTCATCCTATTGTATATAATTTCATTACCATGGTCCTATGATAGAATTTTGTAAGACCAATGATTTATTCATTTTAAATACCTTTTTTTCAATTACATAAAAGGAGAATATACATGTGGATTTCACCAGATGAAATCTATAAGAATCAAATTGACTATATCTATGGAAAGAGATGATGGAGAAACTCAATATTATCAGTCAAAATAAGGCCAGGTACCAACTGTGGAGCCAACCATCATCATATGCCAGCTCAGGCTGAAGCTGAAGAAAATTTTTAAAAATTCCACAAGAGCCCAAATATGATCTTGAATATATTCCACCTACATTTTGAGGCCATCTCAAGAACATATGTGATACACTGAACAGTAATTACCCAAACCCAGAAGAGCTATAGTATGACATCAAGAACATCATACATGAAGAAAGCAAAAGGTCATTTAAAAGATAGGAAAGAAAGAAAAGGCAAAAATGGATGTCAGAATAGACTCTAAGCTTGCTCTTGAGCACAGAGAAGCTAGACCAATGGGAAAGAATGAGAAGGTAAAAAAGCTGACAGAAAATTTCAAAGGGCATCAAGAAGACAAAGTCAAGCATTACAATGAAATGTGCGAAGACTGGAGTTAGAAAACTAAAAGGAAAGAACACATTTAGCATTTTCCAAGCTGAAAGAACTGAAGAAAAATTTAAAGCCTCTAGTTGCAATATTGAAGGATTCTATGGGCAAAATATTGAATGATGAAGAAAATATCAAAAGAAGATAGAAGGAGTACACAAAGTCACAGTGTCAAAAAGAATTGGTTGGTGTTCAACCATTTCAAGAAGTAACATATGATTAAGAACTGATGGTGCCTATGCTGAAGGAAGAAGTCCAAGCTGTTGCACTGAGGGCATTGGTACCAAACACTATTGAAGTATTTCAACAAACTGATCCTGCACTAGAAATGTTCACTCATCTATGCCAAGAAATTTCAGAGACAGCTACCTGGCCAAGTGATTGGAAGAGATCCACATTTGCACCCATTACAAAGAAAGGTGACCTAACAGAATGCAGAAATTATTGAATAATACCATTAATATCACATGCAAGTACATTTTTGCTTAACATAATTCAAAATGAATACATCAGTGCTTTGACAAAGAGCTGCCAGAAATTCAAGCTGGATTCAGAAGAGGACATGGAACTGGGGATATCATCACTGATGTCAGGTGGATCTTGGTTGAAAGAAGAGACTACCAGAAAGAAGTTTGCTTATACTTTATTGACTATGTAATGGTCTTCAGCTGAGTCACTTATAAAAAACTATGGATAACATTGCAAAGAATGCATATTCCAGAACACTTAATTGTGCTCATCAGGAACATGTACATAGACCACGGGATACTGAATGGTTTTAAATCAGGAAAGGTGTGTGCCAAGGTGGTATCCTTTTCACCATATTTATTCAGTCTTTATGCTGAACAAATAATCTGAGAAACTGGATTATATGAAGAAGAATGTGGCATCAGAATTGGAGGAAGATTCCTTAATAACTTAAGATATGCAGATGACACAACCTTGCTTTCTGGAAGCAAAGAGGACTTAATATACTAATGAAGATCACAGATTATAGCCTTTGGTATGGATTGCACTTTAATGTAAAGAAAATGAAAACACTCACAGCCAGACCAATAAATAGCATTATGATAAATGGAGAGAAGATTGAAGTTGTCAAAGACTTCATTTTGTTTGGACCCACAATCAACACTCATGGAAGCAGCAGTCAAGAAATCAAAATGCATACTACATTAGGCAAATATGTTGTAGAAGAACTCTTTAAGTGTTAAAGAGCAAATATATCACTTTGAAGACTAAGGTGCACCTGACCCAAAATATGATGCTTTCAATTGTCTCATATGCATGAGAAAGTTAACTATAGAAGAGTTGATGCATTTTAATTATGGTGTTGTTAAAGAATATTGAAAGTACAATGGGCTGCCAGAAGAGCAAATTCTGTCTTGGAAGAAGTACAGCCAGAATGCTCCTTAAAAGTGATGATGGCGAGACTTCATCGAGTCGGAACCGACTCATAGCGACCCCATGCACAGCAGAATGAAACAATGTTGGATCCTGGGCCAACCTCACTACCGCTGCCACACTCGAGTCCATCAATGATGCCACCTGACTGATCTATCTCGTTGGGGGTCTTCCTCTTTTTCTCTGACCCTCCACCTTACCCAGCATAACATCCTTCTCCAGCGACTGTTTCCTCCGGACAATATGTCCAAAGTATGAGAGACGAAGCTTAGCCATCTTGGCCTCCAAGGAGCACTCTGGCTGCACTTCTTCCAAAACAGATCCATTGGTTCTTTTGGCAGTCCATGGCACTTTCAGTATTCTCCTCCAACACCACAACTCAAAGGCATCAATTCTTCTACGATCCTCCTTATTCACTGTCCAGCTTTCACATCCATATGAGGCTATTGAAAACACCATGGTTTGGGTCAGGCGCACCTTAGTCCTCAAGCTGACATCTCTGCTCCTCATGGATTTATAGAGTGGGTCTCAAACAGAACAACAATCTGAAGGATGACAATTTTTTCATATGTACATGAAAAACCAACCAACCAATTGCTGTTAAGTTGACTCTAACTCATAGTGACATCCTGTATGTTGGAGTAAAACTGTGCTCCATAAGGTTTTCAGTAGCTGCGATTTTGAAAGTAGACCACCAAGTCTTTCTCCCAAGGCACATTCAAATAGACTTCAGATAACAACCCTTTGGTTTGAAGCCAAGCATGGTAATTATTTGTGCCACCCTGGGACTTCAAAACAGAATATAGGCCCAGCATTTCAGTTGGGTTTTTGGAATACACAGGAACATGGCCAGTTAACTTGGAATGGATTCTAAGTACTGTCCTTGAAGTGACAAATGGTATAGCCCATCAATTCTCCTTAATATAAGGTACATACATTACATTCTCTGCTTTTAGTTAAACCATACCTCTCAGCCATCAGGTAAGGCTATGCATTCTGTGGGTGTTTAATAAATATTTGATAATGATGGTGATGAAAATGATATGGTAGTTTTCTTTTGTGTCTTCAATGATGTTCCAACAAGTATTTATTGATATTCCACCTGAATGCTCTTTCACGCCTATATTTTGCCACCAGAGAAGAAAATCATTAAGTAGTCTTATATGACCCTAAACATACTAGTCATTGTGTCTTGCAATATCTAATTGTTTTCCTCCCCCTTCAAATACAGTCATTTTTATCATTTGTGTTGGGAAAAACTTTGAGGGGAAGACGTGCTAGATTTTTCTGTCCCTGTGGTTGTGTGGTTATGTACTGTAGAGTCAGTTGCAACTCATAGTGACCCTGTACAGGGTTTCCGAGGCTGTAAATCTTTACAGGAGCAGAAATCCTCATCTTTCTCCCACGGAACAGCTGGTAGTTTTGAACTGCTGACCTTGAGGTTCACAGTCCAATCCATAACCACTTTGCTACCAAAGCTCCTTTGGTAGTGTCAATGATTAACATGTGTGACTGCTAACCATAGGCTAGAGGTTCAAGTCTACCCATGGGTTCCTCAGAAAAAAGACCTGGCAATCTACCTCTGAAAAATCAACTATTGAAAACTTACTGAGCACAGTTCTACTCTGACACACAAGGGGTCACCGTGAGTTCATCTTTATTTAGTGTTTACTTTTAAAGACTGGAGTCTCTAAATTCTACTATTAGAATTCTTTTATTTCTTTTCTTTGAAAAATATTTGGCAGTTGTGATGTAAAGTGAGAGATATTGAAATGAAGGTATTTCTGTAGCTCATGATCCACCAACAGGCCTGGAATTAGCAATGTGTGCACATGGGGTAGTTGCCCTCTGTGAAGGCTGAAACCTATAAAATGATATTTCATTATGATTTAATTTAATAGGATCCCTGGTGGTGCAGTCAGTTAAGTGTTGGACTGCTAATTTCAAGATCAGCAGTTCAAACCCAGCAGCTGCTCCATAGACTAAAGATGAGGCTGTGTGCTCCCATAAAGATGTACAACCTCGGAAACCCTAAGGAGCAGTTCTGCGCTGTTCTATAAGGCATCTGTGAATTAGAATTGACTTGATGGCCATGGGTTATAATGTAAT